TTACAAAACTGACGATAACCGTGTGGTTATCGTGTTTACTGCCGGTTACGATAAACCATGGTAAGCTCATTAAACTGAAATAAATTTTAAAAGTAATTTAAATTTTTAAAAAATATTATACAATTACTGCGAGTAACCATGCAGTGTGCGGTAAACCCACGCCGATGGTAAGGAAACCCTGGTGAACCCAACACAAGCAATGCGATTAGAGCGTATCAACGAGAACACACGCGGGAGCCACACGAGGCGGAGTACTACACACCAATCCCTCCATCTCATAAAAAATCTAGGACCGGATACTACTATAAATCTGAACACATATATATCCAAATTCGTAGTTTTAGAATATGTCACATTTAGTACTAGATTGATTTTTTAATGGAACGGAGGGAGTACACAGGAGCACGAGCAGCAGTGGCATCTTTGTTCTTCCGTTCCGTGTCGTGTGCAAAACTAAAACAACACAAGGAGGGGGAGGCAGGAGGCGCACGAAGAAACCGGCCGCGGCTCGAGGAAAATATAAAAGGAACCATCACCGTGCAGGGGAGGGGAAGGGAATCCGGCGCGTCCGCCGTGGCTGCGCGGAAACAAACACGCAGCGCACGGTCACCCACGTCCGGTTCTGGAATCCTGCCTCGGAAGCGGCGAGGCTACTCCAGAGGCCAGGTTGGTGGATAAATTCACCGGGCTGTTTGGATACGAGCAGCAAGTTTTCCAAACATTTTTCTCTCTGATTAATTTTTTTAATAATGTTCTCTCTGCTTAATTTGTTGTGGATAAGGAAATTGACAATTTAATCATGTTTGGTAACTTTTGGACCGTGTCAGAACACTACGGCTCACACAAGTCGGTGGAAACAGGTCAAACTTATGGGCAAGTTTCGGCCGACTTTGGCAGTTTGGTCTTCAGGAAGCAGGCCTATTTCGTTTACTGACTGACTGACCGGAGGGTACTGCTTTTGGATCTGTTGAATTTGGTTGGCGCCGAGGTCATTTGTTTTTTTAGTAAGCACATAATCGAAACACGCTATATTCGCACTACCGCATTTTCTATACTTCATTGAAATATTGTAAGGGCACTGAAATCCACGTAAACATGAAGTATATACTTTCTCCGTCTCAAAATAATTTAATCTAGAATGATATGAGATCCATCATAGTATAACGAATCTAGCTAATCTAGGATGTGATATGATTCTAATATGGATAAAGTTATGTGCAGATTTATTGTATTATGATGGGTCTCGTCGTATCCTAGCTCGTATTATTTTGGAACAGAAGGAGTATTCCCTTCATCCCATAAAGGACTTGAGGGATAGTGAAAAAAAAAAGAAAATAAAAAAAATCTTGAGTTAACCATTTATATGTTCACCTCTCTCTCATTATAATCATGTAATACTAGAAGTACAAGTCACCTATATATAAGAAATGTTCAACCAAGCGAGAGTCGGCTACAAAACAAATATTCAAACTTTAAAATTCACATTTCAAACCTTTGTGTAAACCGTGCGGTACATTTCCTAAAAGATTAGTGGACACTATCCTCCCCTATCGTTTTCCTTTCATTTCGCTCAAAATCCTGCCTCGCGAATACTTCACACAACTTATGATTTCTTTGGAACGCATGAATCGAAAAATATAGAAATAACAAAAACAAAGTATTAAGTGTCGTGACTTGATGAATACATCAGGAACTAAAACCACAATAATTCTACATAATAATTACAGGAAAAACACATGAAATTTAATATTTATATAATTGATTTACTAGATAGAAAGAAGAGATACACAGAAAGTGCTTGGGCTTCTCAAATAAATTCTGTTAACACGAGGTGAGATCACATATTAGAATTCCTCTAAAATTTGGAAGATTTTTTACTATCCTGTAATATTACTCTGAACAATTTCACCATCTAACACTACTGAAAAACTGATCTTCGATGGGTCAAGCAAAATCCACATTAGTCCCGGTTCAAGTAGGAACCGGGACTAAAAAATATATTTAGTCCCGGTTTAATTTTACGATCTTTAGTCCCGGTTCAAAATAGGTCAGACGTCCCACTATCTTTATTCCCGGTTGATAACAACAAGCACTTATTCTCATCTCCTCCCCCCCCCCAAACAAACTCCTCCTCATATCTGTATCTGCATTTCCTCTCTCTCTCTCTCTCATCCTCATCCTCTCTTTTTTTCCAACATCCTCAGCGGGCGGTGGCCGAGGCCAGCGTGGCGCCAGGCGGCGGCGGCCGAGGCCCACGCCAGGGGCAGCGTGCTAGCGCCGGTCAGCGGCCTGCCCGCGCGGGGTGGCGGCGGGCTGTGCGGAGAGCAGTGGCGGACTGTGATGTAAATTTGTGAATTTGTTCATACTGTAGATCTATGAATTTATGATGTCAATTTGAGTATTTTCATTCGATCTGTGAATTTGTAGATGATTTTGTGATGTTTTGTGAATGGGAATGATTTTGTTGTAGAGATCAGTTTGAAATCAATATAAGTAGTAAAAAAACTGAAGATGAGAAGAACTTTGGCCACGTGGCGTTCCGATCCTTAGTCGTGGTTCGTAACACGAACCGGAACTAAAGATACCCATCTTTAGTCTCGGATTCAAGGTCCCAGTTACATAAACGGGACTAAGGGGCTTACGAACCGTGAGTGAAGACACTTTCTCCAGCAGTGTAAGAGCTCCTTTAATTCATAGGATGGGTAAAGAATTTTCGTAGGATTTAGATTGTTGTTGATTTTTTCCTACATATCCCTCTAATTCATAAAAAGGAAGAAAAATTTGTATACCAACCAAGAGGTGCGACCTGTTTGTAAACTTTCCTTTGTTTTTCCTATTGCGCTCCTATTATATTATCCTGTATTTATTTTATTCTTGTAGGATTTGAAAATCATACTAAAGTTTCTTCTATCCTACGAATCTAATGAGACCTCTTATAGAAAGTTTTGTTCCTTCGCACTAGATATCTCTAATTTTCTACAAATTTCCTCCATTCTAAAGAGCCCTACACACACGTCATTATTCATCCCCACACCGAAATTGAAGTTGATCAAATTGCTATGATAGCGATAGCGCTCGCCAAACAACCCCAACCGGTGGACCCCTCGTCGAGATATGTAGTACTCACTCCGTCCCAAAATAAGTAGTTTTGTACTATTCACGTTCAACGTTTAACCGTTCGTTTTATTTGAAATTTTTTATGATTAGTATTTTTATTGCTATTAGATGATAAAACATAAATAGTACTTTATATGTGACTAAATATTTTCACAATTTTTTTAAATAAGATGAATGGTCAATCGTTAGGCACGGATATCTACGGCTGCACTTATTTTGGGACGGGGTAGTAGTACATATTGTACTATGTGTCTTAAGGACACCCACAATGTATGAAAAAGATAGCCTTAAAATATTGATTGTACTTATAAAATAATCCATAATAGTTTATTATTTATGAGCTCACTCTTAAGGTTGCACTACATCTTAAACAATGATCTTGCCCTAACACAATGTCTAATGTATCTCATGCATGTGTAGCCGCCCGGACGTAGCGCTAGCCCGATCGGTTCCGAGTTCCGACTACGACTTTGCGAGACGGCTGCGTCTGCGTTGTACTTTCACGCCACACCCGCGCGCACCACAGAAAACTCACGCTCTCAGCCTCCAAGCCTCCGGCGGCGCGTCGGCTTGACGGACTGAACATGAACAGAGAGGCAAGCGGGGGCGCAGCCGCGCAGGCAGCGCACATCCGCAGGCGCAGGGGGCGCGCATTGAAGCGTTCCGCTGCCGCGGAGGCAATCTACGGGGCCCAAACGGGGCGCGGTGGCGGGGGCGCACATGCATCCGCTGGGCGCGGCGCGCGCACAGCCACAACAAAACAAAGGGGGAAGGGAAGGACGTAACAAAAGCTGCACAGTGCGCGCGTCCGGCCCGGCGTCCGCTGTAGGCGGCATGCATTGCCTGATGGATGAACAAGGGGGTGGGGTGTGGTGGACTGGTGGGGTGGCCGGCCGGCGTCCATGATTCCGTAGGTCGGTAGGTTATTGTTGCCGGGCGGTGCGTCTCTGTTCAAGTGTTGGTCCTTTGGGGTTTCAGGTTTGACTCCGTATAGGTGACGTCGTTACCGATTGCACCAAACCTTGGATTACATGTGCATGCGAGAGATTGTGTGAGCCTACTACTAGTAACGAAAACAACCGTGCAGTTCTATTTCATTGTTTTAGAAATCAAGAGCATGCACTGTTGTGACTTGTGCGCCCTTTTGCTCACGAAGCTAGTACAGCGTTTTCTCAAACAAGGAAAAGAGAAACTGTACTCCTACACTCTACAGCTACGTAGGAGTAGCAAAGTACTAGCACGGCTAGTTTAGCAGGTCTACGACAAGAGGAATTGCGCTACATCGTGGCTGCTGCTGCAACCATTCCGTACACTCTCCGTAGCACAGAGACACAGTCACGCAGACAGGTTGGCCTGCGAACGGGCCAAAGCCACGTACTGTCGCCGTTGGACTCGATAAAAGCCTGGGGGCGCACAGCCTGCGTCGCCCACATGGGCGTGACGAGGCCTGCTACTGTGGGCCCTTACCTTGGGGCCCACCACCTCTCGCTCTCTGTCAAACGCCCTTTTTACCCCCTCGCGTATCTGGGCCTGCGGCCCACCCTTGATCTACCGCACGTAGTAGTAGTACAACTAGTAGTAACGCTGTTCTCTCTCGCGGTGCAACGGACGATAGAGACTTGATGAGTGAGAGGCATCATGGTCATCAGGTATCCGTCGATGTGCACGCCCAAAACGACAAGGCAGGTTGCAGCGTTTACTTATAGGCAAAGTCAAGACAAATCGAGCGATCATCAAGTTGATCACCATACCTACCTTGTTATAGGGTGTCCATGCCTAGCTTATTGCATGGAGTATTTGCATGTCGGCTTGATTGGAAGATTTTGCGGCGCTCCAGTTTGGGCCACAAGTTGGCATCACAGTAACCAGAAGGGATGGGAAACTATCAGCTTAATTAAAAGACGCCATTCATTCCAACCCTTGGCTTGGGGCCCAATATCATTTTTACAGATTGACAAATTAGTTGGGATAACTTTCTTTCTATAGAGCAATGACTAGACAGCTACAGTAATAGATGGTATAGTAATCTACAGATTCATTCAGCAAGATCTGAAAAAAAAAATAAAAAGGAGGTTCAAAGAACAAAGAAAAGGTGTCCTTTGTACAAGTGGCCTGCATCTGCTGAGGGGCGCAAATAACGCTGGTCGGCAGCTGACCGAGGAGGTGTGAGTGGGATCTTGCCACTCTCCTGATCAAACAACATGGCCAAGTAGGAGAACCAAAGAGATATTTTAGTACTAGCACAGGTAAAAATACTTCACAGACCACTTCTTGCCATGGCCATGTGATCCTTCTCCGGCTTCTTCTGGGATTATTTGCACTTGTCCATGATATTTGCATCCCCTGAAGCTAGCAGGATGCACCTGTGTTACATCTGACTTATATAGAAGCTGTTACTGGCCTTGTTTACTAGTTACTTCACAGTTAGTGCCTACAACTTAGATGAACAACTGGGTAAACATCAACTATATATGTTGTTGATGGCAGTTGTAATTGAGTACTACTAGTATATCTAATATTATAAGGGGGTAACACTGGATTGCTTATATATATTAAGTATCTCACAACACTGCATGTCTGCATCTACTGGCTTTTTTTCCTAGTCAAAGGCTAATGGCATCTTCACTTGTGGTTTTAATAGAGCTACCCACTAAAAAGGGCAACCAAAAAGAAATAAACAAGGGAGCTAACACTATGCTGACACTTCACTCCTTTTCTCCTATATTCCACTATCGCTTTTCTTTTGCTTCTTGTGTTCCTGTCACAGACAAATAGAAAAAAGGAGCGGAAAGAAAACAAGACAGCAAAATCAGAAGGTGAAAGGCTTATTATTTTGGAAGCATAGTGGGAATAAAGGAAGGATTAAGTGCTTACTATGATTAGGCTGGGGGATTCACTCATCCATTGCAGAGAACTTTACATCCCAATCGCTCCGTGATCAGAGGCCAGCCTGCTTATTGCGTTCACCAAATCATTTCAAGCATCGATCACAAGATATCGGATCCATCAATATAATCACAGTACATGCCATACCTGGAAACCGAGAAGAAGTCTCTTGGCGAAGGTATATCCAAAGTAGAGGGCCGCAGATGGTTGATTCCACCTCCAGCATTAGTGCCCGCGCTGATGCCTACATGAGATGCACTGCAGCTACTTGTCGCGACGACACCGGTATCAGTGGTGGTGAAACTTTGGTGAGCTGAGACAGAGGACTTAGTCGGCGAAGCAAACGGGCTGTCCGGCAAATTGTGCTCCAAGCTGCAGAATATCCATATCAAATGAAAGCCATGAGCCACTGAAGCAGCCCAACCTTTTCAGCTTCTATGTGCATCAAATCATGAAAGCTAACTGCAAGAATAATAAGCAAACAGAATGATGATGATGGTCTGTCTAGTGTAGTTTAGTAAGATCCACCTTTGGTCGCTATCAGCATTCAGGCTCGCCTCACCAGCAGATTCTTCCTTATCACCTCCTCCGTTGACCATTTTCCTCTCTTCTGTGAAGTAACCTGTTCCCTTGAGCTGCTCGCCTATAAACGACCAAGAAATTACAAGGATCAGTAGTGTCGAATGAGTGGATGAACTCGTCTTACAATGCTTGACAGGCAGACCGACCGAAGTAACACATACCAGAATCAGGCGGTGACTCGACCATGGTGGTGGCAAGAGGCTGACTGGAACCGAAGGCATTGGCGGTGGGAATTGTCATCGCCATTGCTGTTGTGACAGCAGCTGCGGCTCTATTCTTGAGGTCGAGCAGCTGGAGGTCCATGAGACGGCGACTGTGGAGTTCGATGGCCTGTTGCAGCTCGGCAGCCTGCTGCTGCTCCTCCAGTTTCCTACGAAGCATCATCTCGTTTGTGCTATTGGAGTGCTGCAGCATCCTCGCACCTGCCAGGCACCAAACTTCACATCAGCAGATCGCTCTAATACACCATACCAAAGATCAAGCAGGAAGGCATTGAGGCTGTTCGTTTGTGCGACTTGCAGCTGCGTTACAGCTGCAGCAACAGTATCCACTATGAAACAATGAACTACAGCTGTGCTGCCACAGCTAGCACAAACGATCGGAGCGAGCTAGGATATTTTTACCGAGCTGATGCAGATCGAATGGGTCTCTGCCGTCCAGGCCAGTGGGGGTCGTGCAGCCGGAGAAGTCACCTTGATGTTTCCTGCAAGATGAGTGGAAAAAAAATTATAAGCAACCAGGAAAACTGCATGCACGGATACAGTTGCAGTTTAAAGATGCGGAATTAAAACGCCGGAGCGTGTTCCAAGCGTGCCTGTACTTGTCGGGGACCTTGCCCTTCTCCTTGTAAGGCTTGACGAGCACGCGGGCGTCGCAGATGAAATGCGGATTGCCCTTGGCCAAGATCAGCTTCACCGTCTCAGGGTACACGAAGGTGACGAACCCGAACATGCGCTTCTGCTGGTACGGGATGCGCACGTCGTGCACCGGACCGTAGATGCTGCAGCGCGGGCGCATTGCCAAGAACAGCAAACATGCCAATCAGATCGCGTTCTACCGAGTCCGCCATGAAAGAAGAAACATCATTGCAACATCGCATTATACCTGAAGTAGTTGGAGACGTCCTCCTCGCGGAACGTGCTGTCGGCCGGGAAGGTGAGGTAAATCTGGCGCGATCCGGGGTTCATCATGCTGGCAAAGTCGACGCGGTCCAGGCGCGGCCGCCCCATGAACTTGTGCGCCTCGTCGCTGCCGCCGAGCATCAGCGCCGCCGCCGCCGCGGCTCTGCACACGCGCAACCAAACAACAAAGGTTGGAACTTTGAAAGCTTCGAGCTTGGAATATGGAGGTTGTAAAAGGCGGTCGGTACCTTTGGTTGTCGTTGTGCTGCTGCTGCAGCAAGAGGCTGAGGCACTTGGTGGCGGCGGATGGCGAGCCGGGGAGCGACCCTGTGGGTGAATAGGGGAAGGCAGCAGGGCCGAGGCGCTGGCTCTTGGAACGGAGGAGGAAATCCTGGCACTGCTGCTGCTCGGCGGTGGCCGCGTCCATGGCGGCGCCCGTCAGAGCGGCGGCGTCGTCGCCGTGGACGAACCTGCAGCTGCTGCCGTTCTTGCAGAACCCGCGCGCGTAGTACAGGCAAGGCTTCCACCCGAAGCCGTCGCTGCTGCCGCCGCCGAGGCAGAGCTCGTTGACCGACGCGCTCCGGCGGTGCCCAGGGCCACCGTTTGCCCAGCCGAGACCGTACGGGAACATCCCGCCGCCCTCGCCGGGACCGGGGCTCCGGCACTCCGCTCCATCGAACCCCTGGAGAGGGTGGCTGGGGTTGACGCCCCCCTCGTTGAGGAACGCGAGCTGCTCCTGCAGCTGGAAGTCGTCCAGGAGCACGTCCCCACCCCGAGGAAAGAAGGGCGGCGCGTTCGCCGCGGCGCCTCCCCCGCTGTTCGCCGGGCTGATTAGCTCCTCCCCAGCGCCCACCACCTCATCCACGGACCCATTGCTCCTCGAGAACGGCTGCGCCTGCGCCCACGAGGACGGCGAGGACGCGGACAGCGGCGACGGCGACGGCGCGGGGCCGCGGCCGGAGTTCTGCCGCGACAGCAGGAACGGCGAGTGGGCCGCCGGCACGGTGGGCGACGACGACGACGGCGGCGGCGGCGGCGGGAGGAGGGCGAGCTCCTTGCGAGCCTGCGCCATGACGCTGTGGAGCAGCGCCTCGGGGCCGAAGGCGAGGCGTATCATCTCCTTGTCGCCGTGGTCCTGGATGAGCAGGAGGCCCATGATCTTGGCGGCGTGGTCAGGGTCCAGCGCCTGGATCCGGGAGAACACCACCTTGGTCGCCTCGTAGGCGTCCATGGCCGCGCCCAAGAAACGCCCGGAGCAACAAGTTCTCCTTCTCCTTCTTCTTCTTCCCCTCCCTTCGCCCCACGCACACACACACACACACACACACACCGCTGCTGCTCACGAGCTTCTCGCTTCTCCCCTCGCCTTCACCTCACACACCTTTACCCCTCCTTTTCCGCTGGTGTTGTGTAGTGCCTACAGCCTTAAGTAGCGCAGTTGCCGCAGCAAAAACAAAACTAGCTGGCGCTGCTTTGGCTCGGTCCGGTTGCTCGGTAGCCTCCGCTTCCCGGAGCTGCGGCAGCGAGCAGCTCCATTTCCGAAACTTTGGTGCTTAGCCGCGGCCTATCACCACACCGTGCACCTCACGCTCCCTCTATTAAGCAAAGCAAAGCAGGCACAGCGGATGGCCTGGCCTCTTCGCCTCGCTTCTCGTCTCCTCTCTTCTCCTCGGGGGTCGGTTGACAGGGGACGGGGGACCGGCGAGGGTGGGTTTCTTGGGGCTTGGGACTTTGTACTGTTGCGGGACGAGCGAGTACGGGGCTGATGGGGCGGTGTGTAATTGCCATTGTTTTTTAAGGGGTTCCGGGGCAATGTTTGCTTCTGAAATTTGGGGTCTAGTAGTATCAGAGAGGAACAAATTAAATGTTGGCTCCATTTCCCCACCGGTTAACCACACACACCGCAGCTCCCTCCTTCTCCGCCCCCCGTCGCTTTTATGTCGTCACCGTTTCCCTAAGCACACGACTTCATCCGTCACGCTTTGTTTCGACCCTCAGCAATTCCCGACGTAATACCATAACTTAGCCCCTTTTATTCGTAGAAAAATTATAAGATATTTGGAGGATTTCAATCCTTCGAAAAAAAATTCCTATGAAACTCCTATTGAATGAGTAATGCTATAGAGATTTTGAAGAAAAGTTTGTAACAGATTCAACCTGTTGGAAAATTTTCTTTGAGTGTCTATTTCATTCGATTCCTGTATTTTTTGTGATCCAATTTAACAGTTATTCTTGTTTTTTTGTTTTTTTCTAGTATTTTGTAACTTTTACACTTACATTACTGTCATAGACCTCCGGTTTTCCTATTCCTTCGTTTTTCCATTTCTACGATTCAAATAGCCCCTTAAATGTATTTTATGGTAGATATTTGACAAAAAGAATAGGAGTATGTCTTACTCCCTATGTTCCATTTTTAAGTGTAGCCATGGTTTTTCGCGTCCAACTTTAAACATCCGTCTTATTTAAAAAAATTTGAAAAAAAATAAAAACATAAGTCACGAGTAAAGTATTATTCATATTTTATTATCTCGTAATAACAAAAATACTAATTATAAAAAAATAATACGGACGATGAAAGTTGAGCACGAATACTTATGATTGCATTTAAAATAGGACGGAGGGAGTAACTCTTAAGAAAATAATGGTTTTTTGCCATACCATAATTTGGATGTTATTTTACTATGACTTTGGCAATATAAATAGGGATCAAAAGTCGGCAATATATCTTACACGTGACATTTGTTTCGAATAGTAGATTTTTTTTTCATATTAATGAATAAAATGCCAGCTAACATAAATTCAGCATGTGCCAAATTTATTGAAGTATTACATTTAAACATGAGCTTTGATCATTGGTTTTATTGACTCCCTCCATTCCAAAATTTGATATTTAAAAGTGTATTAGGGTTAAGGATTGGGGTAAAAGATCTACTTGTCTCTAAATAATGTCATATAGGATTGGGAGATGGGAATTAAAATAGTCTTGTTGGAAAGATCAGGTCCACCGGGAGCTGTTTGGAAAGTAATGAGAGAAAAGCCATTTTTTACATGTCATGTGTACTTTTATTTAGGACAAAAAAGCTAAAATTAGCTTATTTGGGGATAAATGGATTGTCATTTATTTGTTAGGACTTATTTTTACCATTAAAGGTAAACTTTGCGTATTTATACCAAATATTTCTAAACTAGATAAATGATAAAGTATTATGTGAAAAAGTTAACAATATCATATATTAAAAAACAAGTCCAAAAGTTCAGTAGCTTCGTATAATTTAAAACGAAGGCCTTGTCGACAAATTTTTTATATTTAATATATGTGCTCTTTTGAGTAAGTGCAATATAGAAATTAACAGTTAACTATAAGATTAAATATGTTGCATCAGGCCCTTATTTTTTCATGTTAAGATTCAGATTTTACCTCGATTTCCATTATCACGCTTTTAAAAATAATAAGTGGTGTGTTCTATGTGAAAACTTTCTATATATAATTTTCTTTGATATTATATCCATTTGTCAAGTTTATAATAATTAAAACTTAACTAATTATGTGCTAATAGCTTTTTCTTTTTGCGTGCGCCATCTTCATCTTGTTTTAAAATTTAAACATCAATTTAAAACAAAATATATGATGTGTCAATGAGAAACATGCACTGACTGGCTATTTTTATAGGGAAAATTTAAACCATGCCACACAAATTTTGCAAAATTTGTGATATGCCATTCTAACCCACATGTCATTCTAATTCCAGAAAACAGTTTTAAGACTAAATTTTTCATAGTTTCGTGTGTAATATGTTTTTCTAACAGCTATAAAACCAATGTCACATGAAAATACTTTGAATTATAAATCCAATGGTATATAATTCTATGCACTAAATATATTTGTTTGCTATCTTAATTACAGCTCAAATGTTCCAACCTTGACTTCCTAAAATCAAATACGGTTATAAAAATAAACGGAAAGCAGAAAAATACAACTATCATGTAAGTCAAACATGTTTTCTATTTATATGATAAAAATATTTAAGCCAACATTAAAACCGATTTGTTTTATAAATCAGGCTACATTTAAATCGGTTTTGCTTGTAAGATGGTATGAATGTCCGGTTTTATATTTAATGATGTTTTTTTGACCGGTGTTGAGAGTAAGGTAAACTTCAAAATCCCTCTTAGTGCTTTTTTTTTGTCTTTAGGGAGTACTTAAAAAGGAAAATGTTAGGAGACAAAATCCCAGCACCCATTATCTAGGTAGCACGGTGCCCTTCTCCATTGTTCCACCCCCTTACTTGCATGCATGGCTAGAGAAGGGTGTACGCCACCGCCGCCTAGTCGGCCGGTGAGCCGCCTATCATCAATGCCTCCTTTCCTCCCTTCGTATCCTCTTGCCGGCATGCAAGTTCCATTGCCATCGTGCTTGAGAGAGGGGAGACTGAACCCGCCAACTGGATCTACTGTTGCTGCTCTCCTTCATTGCCGCACTGGTGGATCCACTGATTCTTGAGACTCAGTTGCTTGTGTGACCAGTGAATCCACGACGGATCCATCAAAGCCAAGCATAGAGCTATTGCCTTCTACACCCCAATTCAAAGAAGAGGAGAGAAAGAGTGGGAGAGAGGAGAAGAAAGGGGTGGGAGAGCTCCAATGCCACCGTCGCTATCAAAACCAATTTGGCCCAGGGGTGGTATCAAGCACGGCTCTATGAGTGTCCCTATTGCTATCCATAGGGATGAGAACTGCCATGACCGTTCGACGATGATGGCAAAGCAATGGGAGGTAAAGTAGAGAGGCTCAGGAATATCGGTCATTGCCAGAATGTCGATGATGGAAGGCAAGATGAAAATGCTTGGCAACGATGGTTATAGAGACATGGGCTCATGCTAGTATTGCATGATACAATGTGGTACTAGAGCATTGGTTTTCAAAGATATCATATGGTATCCATTTAGTATTATTCTGTTTAAAACGGGATCCCGCACAATAGTAGCCCCTTCAAATAAACGAGGAAGTTTTATTCGGTTTAAAGCAAGGCTAATAATACAGCTGACCTGCTGGCTATAAGGTTCTTTATAGCCTTCTCTCAGCCTACCCATATAATAGTTAGCTCTTCACAATTAATACAGGTCCCACTTGTCTCTCTCACAAAGTTTCTTGGTTCTTGTGTCCAAGCCAGCTGTTAGTTTACAGCCCGCTTCTCCTCTCTCTCCTCTCTTATTTCCTACAATTCAGCATTTAGCCGGCTTATAGCTTACTATTATACTTGCTCTTATGGTCTGACACTATATACAGCTTTATTTTTATTTATTTTTTAAAAAAAGGAGTATTACCGTTCGTGTCCGGACTCCGAACAATACATGTTCAAACCGGGAAAATCCATGCCAATTGCCAATAACTTTCAGACAGGCGGATTAGCAGAAAGGTGGAGAGAAGTACACTAGCTCGTTTACGCGAAATATCCAGTCATTTTTTTCAAGTATAGAAGATACTTGATTGCGATGGTATAAACTAAAGTAGTGTACCGATTTAGATGCAATACCACTATCCTACTTGATCACCTGTTCACCATCATAATCAAATCATCGATATTGTCTGTCTGTTACAGTTAAAAACCGATGACAGACTCAGGCGCTCAGCCAGGACAACTTTTTTTTAAGGGGAAATTTTAAGACGCCAGGACACCCTGGAACTACTCCGATAAAGTAGCAGCACAGGACAATTCGTTGGGTGCATGCATATCATCACTAGGCCCATGGACTCGCGATAGTGATATCACGCAGTATAGTATAGCGAAAACACGCGACTTCATGGACTGGCTGACCGTTGTCAAAGACAGGTCCAAGATAGATGATACCATAATTTGTCTGTAGTTTGGTCATAGCTCGGTCTTCAATTTGAGATGTCAGATGTCCCAGGAATTCACGAAGATAGTTACTAGCTGATAGCGTAAATTCGCCGACATATACGTACGCGCAAAATTGAAAAACAGAAGTTCGAGGGTGATCAGTCTGTTTCAAGCAACATGTTGGCACCTGACAAGCGATTCCAAATCACCGGCGAGAAGTCAGAGTTGATGAAAGGGGCAGTAGCCCAGGCCCCGGACAAGCTCCTTGTCACCCCTTGATTTTCTTTTTCCTCCCCCATTGACTGTTTTGCCTTAAGCAAGATGATCTCTTCAGTAGTTCAGTGGCGCTTTCGGATGTGGCTAATCAACACATAAAATTTCACCGTCAATCTCTATTTGGTTAGTTTGATTCAACTTCTAAAAACTCCATGATTAGATTTTCTTCAGAAGTGGTAATAGTAATTAATAAGTAAAATATTCTATGGATGATTGCGTCAGTCCAAAAACATACTCATTTGTGAGTGGAATTAGTGAGAGCACGACTGGGAAATAATGCTTTTATCAGAAAGAGTAGCCATTTTTTCGTATAGTTGTACGAATCCAATTGAAATCAAACTGCTGTTACAACTTTATTTATTACTTATTAGAAAAAAAACATTGTGTTACAATTGTCCATCGCTATTAACACGGGATTTTTTTTAAGTCTCGAGACTAAAAGAGAATAATCGTTTTATCTCTGCTTTAAAAACTCTCGTTTTCTAGTTGAGGACGATCTTCGCATGAATTTCACTGGATTAAAAGGTTCGAGAAAACATTATGTTAATATGTTTAAAACAATCATGGATGGTTTCAAGGTAACTTTGGAAGGATCAAAACTTACATAATGTTAGATTTGATAAGATTTGTTCATGTA